AAGGAGTGTTATGAAAATTAAAGAAGAATATCTCATAATGCCAGAAGTGTCAATTTATCAGCAAGACATTAACAATCCATAATATGTATGCATTGAACAACAGAGATTCAAAGTACACGAAGCAAAAACTGACAAAACTAAAAAGAGAATTAGAATAACTATTGATGACCTTCCTCTTAGAAACTAAAATATCAGTAGAAGTATATAGTATATGAACAACTGTATCAATTTACTTGCTTATAGGGCACTCCATTAAACAACTACAGAATTTATATTCTTGTCAAGTACACATGGGATTTTCACTAAGATAGTACATTTATCATATTCTAGGACAAAAAGTAATTCTTAACACAGTTAAAAGGATTGAAATCATAAGGAGTGTATTCTCTGACCACAAAGGAACTAAATTACAAATCCGTAAAAATGATCTATCTAGAAAAGTCACAGGTATTTGGAAACGAAACACCACACTTAGAACTAAACGATTGGCTAAAGAAGAAATCACAACAGATATATCAGAAAATATTTTGAGCTGCAGGTAATTAATATAAAACCGATTCAAACCAGTTGCTGTCAAAATTAGTGGAAAGTAATAAAGTAGTATGCATTTACCCAGCCAATTTGAAAATGTATGTCCACACAAAAAACAGTGGGCATCGTTTGTAACAGCTTTGTTCATTAAGTATTTCTTCAGTATTCAATATACGTTGTAATTTTTGCCAATTGGACTTACTTTTGTAGTGGGAGAATTTGCCTGTTACCTCTATTTGCCATCTTCAGAGGACCAGAAATGTCCTCTTTTGTTTTTCCCTCCCAAATTATTCTTCTTATTTCTTAATTGTCATTGATTGTTTAGATTTACTTCTAAGTTTATAACTTTTTTGCTTTCTCATGCATCTTACCACCATGCTTTTCTTCTGTGTTAAATGTCCTTCTTTTCAAAGTACAACTTTTAGTTGTTTTAGTAACAGTGAATCGGTGAGTGATTCTCTCCCTCCCTGTCTTTCTATTTATTTCAGTCTTTCTTAGTCTGAAAATACTTACATGTGGCCATCAGTCTTGAATAATAATTTGCCTGACAGTGACTATCTCTGAGTACTTTGTAAGTAATGTCCCACTGTTTTCTGGCCACCATTATTGCTCTCAAGAAGTCTGCTGTCAGCACAGTCTTCTCTCTTGAAGTTTGCTTCATGTCTTCACTGTTTTGCAATTTCAATACCTTTACTATCTAGTTTTGAATATTTTATTTACTTTAACATGCTTACTGATTTTTGCACATCCTCAATTTGATAATTACTTTTCTTCAGTTCTGAAAAAATCCTTATTTTCTCTTTAAATAATCCCTTGCTCATTCTATCAATATTTTCTAGGGTTCTTATTAGATGAGTTCCCCTTCTAGGCTTTTGTCACTTAGCCTATCTTATCTGTGCTGTTTTCTGGGTAAAAGGCTCAGCTCTGTCTTCATCAGTATCTTCTCTTTAATACATTTGCTAAGTTTTCTATTTTAATTAATACAGATTTTTATTATTCATTTGCCTGTGGTCTTTTCCTTTGTGTTTTGTTCTCTCCCCACGTTGTCAATTCCTACTTTTATGCCCTTCTTGTGACAGATACTGCTGGCTCTGTTTTTTTTTTTTTCTCCCCAGGCCCATATAGGAAGTCTGTGCTTCCAGTTTCCGTTCTACTGAGCGTAAGACCAAGTTCTGACAAAAGGATTGTGGGAAGAAGTGATATAAGCCACTTCCAGTCCTGGCCATAAAATATCCAGGTACTGCTCTTTTTGCTTGCAGGCTGTTTGAATGCAGAAGCTCCAGCAGGGAATTTGGGTTAGGCCCTATCCATTCCCAAAGACAGTGAATCCATTAGATAAAAGGATATCATATTTCAAACGCTGGGAGGGTAGCCATTCAGGAAAGTCACCTCAACTTTTTGACTGTGGTATGAGAAAGACATAAACTTTTATTGCGGTAAGCCAGTGGAATTTGGTCGTTATTACTGTAGCTAACATTACTCATCATGACCAATAAATTTGGCACTTTAAATGTAATTATTTTATAGTTTTTTTTTCAGAGTGTGCTATTATCTCAAAATTGTGGGCACTAATTTTCCAGATGATTGGCGGTGGAATTTCCCTTATTACTCTCCTGCTTGATTTATAGTGTGTTTCCTGGTATGTTTTATATTTTTTAATTTTAAGCTAATTTTCATGAACGCTGTGATTTTCTTTTGCTGTTCCATATGTGTGAAGTCATAGAAGTCATCCTCCAGAGGGACTCTTGAATTTTAAATTATGTGGGTAGTATACATTAGACTTTACACCTAAGGCTAATGCACTTCTGAGTTTTTAAATGCTTAATTATTATCTTTTATCCTCTATCCAGACTCAAGCACAAGGCATACTTCCTCCCATCTCCATAGGTAATGGCTGGGGTCTTTTGGTCTCTTTTCCAGGCACTGGTTTAATGTGGATGTCTCTGTTCCAATTCCCCACCTTTCATAGGCCCAAGGCTGGGTTGCCTCATTGGGGTGTGTTATAACTTCCGGCCCTGATTCTTGGGGCCCATATCTAGGTGTACTCCTGCTCCGGGTCATGATAGCAGTATCAGCTTGTCAGTATTTACTCAGAATTTGTTTTTACCCCCTGCCTTTATGAGCTCAGGTATGTATTCATTTTTGTTATATTTTATTTATCATTTCCTTATGTTGGGATTGGGAGTGGAGATGGGGTCAGGATATCACAGTTTGCTCTACTCCCAGAATTTCCTTCTCCTTTCTTCATTTCATGAATTAAAAAAATGGATCCCATAGATGGGACATAAACATAACCAAATTCATAGGCGTACTTATTGACACAGTGAAGACTGCAATTTATTTTCACACTCACATCAGCGCTAAATTGTAAACTGGGTGAAAGGACTGTATTTGTAGGTCTTCCAGGTACATAAATGGGGCATAAATAAATATTCATTGACTGCTTGTCCTAACCAGAAATAGTTGACTTCTAGGTTTATAATATTATGTGGTGTGGCAGACGTAAGGAAAAAGTTCTGGTTTCAGGAACATGATCCAATGGTTACGCTCAAGAAATATGAATTCCTGTGACCCCTTTGGGCTCGTATCGCTAGAATGAAGAGCAGAGCTCTGAGGCCCTTTCAGGACGTGTGAAAGGGACTAAGTGCTCTGTTCTTCTGACCAGTGGAGGCGAGTGTGCCTGTGAGAACCCTCCAGTTGCAGGTGATGCTTCATGTGCCTCCTCTATTCTGTTGTTGGGTTTTATTTTCCTTCCCTAACTCCAACTTTGCCAGCAACCAATACCCTGTAGCTTATTCCTTCACCATCCACCTGCTCTATGAGTGTCCAGACTGCATGGAGACGGAACTCAGGAGCCAGATGAAGCTAACTGCACTCCTGTCTGCTGGCCAGGAGCCCCCTGCCCCTGTGTCCCCTTCTCCTGGCTGCATATCTGGTCATCTTTGAAGCAAGCCCAAATCAGTTGTCACCTCTTCTATGAATCCTTCACCAGAAAGTTAAGTCCACCTTCCTTTAGACTTTTAGAGCAGTTAATCAAGCCAGTATTGGTTATGAACAGGTACAAATTTGCTTCAAGACACTCCATTGAAAAGACATCATATTTCCCAGTTTTTCTAAATTAAATAACAGGGTCTGAGTTCCCCATTCCTGCTACTGGTGTAAACCAAGCCCAGTCACGTTTTGGTGAGCCCTTCGCTAATTCCTGGTGTCATCCAAGCATCCCCATATCTGCATTCCCGAAACGTGGGCAGGACCTCTGGAGCCAGGTCCACAGTTGGCTGGATCTCCTGTATACTTCAGATGTTCTCAGGCCTACAGGAAGGCAGGCAGCAGCGCCCCTATGTGGGCACCGGGAACCCTGCTGCGCTCAGCTTCAAACTGTTTCTGGGTGCAAATGGATTACAGCTCTCCACCGCTTCTGAAGCTCCTCCTTAGCACCATCTTTGCTTCTTCTACTAGAAACCACACAAGACTTACCTCCATCCCCTGACCCCTCTGGCTAGTTTCTCTTAGAGCCTTGCCTTGCCTGTTAATTTGCCCCTTAACTCTCCCCTGCAATCAAAAACAAAGAAAAAAAAAGAAAAAAAAAGGCCTGGATCAGAACAATTTAAGTTTTGGCTCCCCCCACCCCTAGTTCGCTTTAACTTTGCATTCTTTTGAGTCTCCTTTGAAAGAGACTGAGACATGAAGTAGGATACCTACAGGGAATCCCTTCACAGAGGTTTGCAGCCTCTCCTCCAGGACAGAGCACTTCCAGGACAAAGACCTAGCCTAGCACAGAATCTGGCCGGTAGTAAAACAGACGTCCAGCAAATGGTTGTTAGAAGAACACCAGGGCCCGACCAGGGACTAGGAGGGGTTCCTCTATGGTCTGTCTTGCCTGGTTGGAGAGAATTCCAAACCCATGGGGTGGCTGTGAGGGTACACTTGGTCCTCCTATCGCTGCCCTCCTACCAAGGACTTTTTCTGGCATTCTCCCGTGGCCCCGTGCAGCTTCTATTCGAAAGCAGGAAAAAGCTGAGGGCAAAGGACGGATGGGACCGGCGGAGCCCTGCCTTGGACAGTTCCCTGCGTGGCCTGACGCGCGTTGCAGAAGGACCGCTGGGTGGAAATAGGGTTAGGGGAGCCCCAAGACCATAAACTAGCATCAGGACGTACGTTCCTCACACTTCTAGCCCGGTGGTCGCTGCTCCTGCGGCCCTCTGGCGGCCGCCGCGCAGCC